AGAGCCACCTCGGAGCCCCGGGGGCAGCGGGAGGTGGGGAGAATGCCGCCTGGGGTGGGTAAGTTCGGGGCTCGGGTGCCGCTGGAATTTCCCATTGTCGCGCGCGCCGCGGCCCCCGGACCTGCGAGTGCCTCCTCCCTCCGGAGGTGTGCGGAGCCTTTGTGTGCCAGGTGAGTGCAGCCTCCCTCCCCCGCCGGCCGGCTTGCCCGCGCGCCGGGTTCGCGCAGCCGGCCTGGAGCTGCAGGCAGGTGCTGCGAGTCTTGGCTGAACTTCCTATTCTCTTGGGGCATGTGGGGGAAGGGTAGGCTGGATGCACCTGAACTACTAGACTCCAGTTGGAACCTACCTGGGGTGAGAGCCTCTAAATTCTTCTGGGCCCCGAAGAAAGTCCTTCCTCCTTTCCTCCCTTCCATCTTTTCTCCCCTCCCTCCTTCCTGATTTTGCTTTTGGATTAGTTCCTGCCTTCTAAATATTTGCGGTGCTGGTGTCATTTAGAAGTTTGAGTTCCTCCACCTAAAAATGCACCCTTTTCAGCACAAGAGAAGTTACTGGCCAGTTGGAAACAATGTGAAGAATGCGCTTGTTAATTAAAGGGAGGATCAGAGTTTTGGAGCTGGAAGACACCTTGTGAGATCGACTTGTCTACCCTCTCATTTGAGATTTTTGGCACTCTGGAAAAACCAGCGCAGCATTCATTTCCGTGGGGAAGGGGGTGATGGAGAGGGAGAGCTAAGATATTTGTCCTGTTAAAAGAAGAAGAGGAAGGGCCCAGTTAGGTCAAAAGCAGAAAATAACAAAAGTAATCATGGTAGGTTAGAGGGAAAAGAACTTTCTGGAAGATGATCCTTTCTGCTTTGGACATACCTGTGTTACAATGATGGGAACACGCCCGGAGGGCAAAGATCCCAGCTCATGCCTGGTGTAGCAAAGAGTACCTTGCTGGCAGGCTGGTGCAGGGTGTATATAAACTGGTTTAAATGCGACCTGAGAGCTGGTGAATCCAGGAGGGTCATCCCTTTCCCCACCCTCTGTTTGTGTCATCTCACTGGCCTTGAAGACTCTGAGAGTCACTGACAGATAACCTCAGAGAGGACAGATGGCCCCACTTGGGCACAGAGAGAAGGCCTCTCCCTCAGGCTGGGGCCTGCGTGGCGGAATGCATCAAGGCAGAGCAAGGAAAACAATCTTAAGCCTTGAAGGTAGATAGTGAGAAAGTTACATATCATCTTATTTCATCCCATGCTTTGAGATCCTTGGATAAAGGTCACTAAATAAATAGAGTATAATTTAAAGTTCACGCTAGCTGGGGAACTTCGTTTCTTTGCCATCAAGCAGCAGGTGTGAGTTTGTAGAGTTGGCCCCTGGGGTCCCCTCATTCCTAAATTCAGGAGGTGTCAAACCTTCATGTTCTTTTAATGGCTGTGGTTTCTGGATAGTTTTCAAAGGGAAACCCTAAAAATCTCGTGCTCCAGTAGGCTGGGCTAGAGGGGAGGCCTGAATGCTGGGGCAGAGACTGCCTCTGAGCTGAAAACATGCACCTTCCAAGGTAACCTGATCAAGAAAGGCCGAGACCAGGAACACGGGCCTGCTCCTTGTTGTCAGAACAGCCACTGGCGGCCTGAGATTCTGAATCCTTGTTACTCGACCCAATTAGGGAATGGAGGTAGGTGGTGGAATGTGAGGGAAATCAGGAGACCCAGGTTCTACATAATTTAAGAGTTTCAGGAATGGGGTCATTGGAGAGAGGTACATACCTGGATGTTTGCACACCTGTGTTTGTGTTCACTCTATTTTGTAGAGACCCCGAAGGCCCCCTTTCAGAGGGCACGTGGCCATGAAGGCCAAGGGAAACTTTACCTCTCTCCCTTCCTTAAATTACAGGACTAAGGAGATTGTCTGCATTTAGTTTCCAGCATGTTTTCAGAGAGCGTGTAAGTGCCTCTCAGAATGGGCTAGGGTCACACTTTGCTCTTTTATTTAATTACACAAGTGTTATTTAACAACATGGGGCAGATGCAGAAGCAAGCACTTCTGCACTTTAAAAACAGTCCTTTTGGAATCACAAGGAATTAAGTGATTTGGAGACCTTCTGTCTTTATGACAGAGGTCACCTCCCTTTCCCAACTCTTTTTGGAAATGGCTGCATTTTCTATGGGATAAAGCTGCTATTTTCCAGTTCTGAAAACAGTTTTGATTGACAGGGAACTATTGAGAAACACTTGGTAACTCTTCCAGAATTAAAAAAAAAAAAAACTGAGCTGCTTCTCCAGCCACCTGAAACTTTAATTTTGGTTTCTTTCCTTCCGTCTTTTATTTGCACAAATGAATACTCAGGGAGGGTGGAGAGGACCCAAATAAAACACATGCTCAGCTCAGCAGGCCCCTGTTCGGCTCATCCCAACAGGATGGTGCAGTGTCGGCCTTATTGCTGCCTTGAGGTTGGGTTTAACTGCTTTATAAACTCGGTGCCAATTGACCTGCCCAGTGGCAAGGAGCTAACCTAAGCGAGATTTCAGTTTTCATCATTGTGACTTTAAATGATGATTACGAGACACTCCCAGGACAGGCCTGGCTAACCTTGGGTGACCCAAAGGTTGTTAGTTCATTAGAATAAGTCTGATTGCAGACTCCTAGTGAAGTATTATCTGGGGCTGGTGATGACTTAGCGTGGCTCCTTCAGTTCTGGTCACAAATGGTGTCCAGGGAGCATGTCCTTATTGTTGTCACTGTGTGCCATTGTTCCTTTTGGACATTGGGGCTTTTTTTTTTTTTTTTTTTGCTTCTGAAGTATTAGTGTGAGAGCCTAGAAATACTCTGGGTCCCAAAGTAGACCTTTTACCTAAGAAATTACTTTTATTGCAGGGTTGCAACAGTCTCACATTAAAAAGTAAATGTTTAAGTGACTAAGCAACATTTTATAAAAGGGTAGGGAATTGCTCAAGGGAAGGAAAGTAAGATGTCTTTACATGAACTTCTTAGAGTAGCTAGCTTGCTTCTTAACCAGAAAGGTTTGCCTTGTCCTTTAAGGGAGGCATTGGTGATTCTGGCCTGAAGAAACGTGCAAGCTCTGTCTCACACTTGCCTGGATTACTGGGATAACGCACCTGACACTAAACATTAGTAACCTCAAGAAGTCCAGTATGTGCTGTGGTTTATACTTGCATTTGTTACTGAAATGGTTGCTTGCTCTAAGCCTGGCCTATTTCTGTAGTGCTGGGGCACGTGGCCTTCTCTGGTTCCCAAGGCTGGTATAACTAACCAGGATGGGGGCGTTTCTGTAAAAACACGACGGGAAGGCAGATTCCATTACAGTGAACCTCATTGGGGTATCCACATGTTCTGGTATGAGAATTTGGTTGTAATGGTGATTGTTAGAAATCACAGCACAGCTCAGAACCACCATCCTCTGCCTGTGTTAGAAACTGTGGTCAGGGAAATGAGGGCCTCGTTTTAATAGAATCCAGGCAAAGAAATTCCTTTGCAGGAGCTAATCTTAATCAAATATCAAAAGGTGCCTGTTCTGACCAAAGCAGTGTCTTGAGTCCTTAGGCTGCTCAAATTGAGAAACACACGTAGAAGCTAAGATTGAATCAAACTGCCCCAAGAGAGAGACCCAGGCAAAAATCTTGGCTCATTGGCAAGGCACTCTCAAAATCCAGATTAAGGAGGAAAACTACAAAATCAACAACTGTCAGATTTCTTTTCTTTATGACTTAAAGTTGGCTGCCAGATTGTTCTCTTTGAACATGTGTGAAGTGACAATCAGATGTTAGAGGGCTTTTTTTTCCCTGCTAATATAGTAAATGACTCTTATATGGACAGGAACTGGGGAACTGACAGCAGTATTGTGCTAAAGCCTCAGAAGCAGTGAGACAACTTGAATGCTTTTTTCTGGTTTTCATTCTGTGGGACAGGGAACAAGATGGTGAGGACAAGGCAGTGAGTGGTCTAGCAGTAATGGGTGTGTTTCTAGAGGGTTCTTTGCCCAAGGAAGGTGGCTTGGCTTATTTGTCACTTTTAAAAGTGATTTTTTTTCCTTGGATGTCTCTACCCTTCTTTCATCCTTATTTCCTGGAGTTTCTTGCTTTTGAGAGGATAAGGGTGTGAGTAAAAATTGGGAAAGAGGCATAGAAAGTTTGCTGGGTGGCAAATTTGTCTTCCTTTCAGAATAAGACTTCTGTTTTGTTGATTTTGACCCCAGACAGGGCCTCTTAGCAAAATGCCTGGGCTTAATCTGCCTTTTGGGTGAGCCCTCTCCCTTCCCACAGGAGGGTCCCCATGCAGTCTTGTCTCAACACGAGGATTAACGCACCAGGGCTTCAGTGTGCACCCCTCCAGAGAGGCCTCAGCTGGCCTCTTGTGTCCTGGGGGTGGGGGTGGAGGTCTTAGGTGGTTCAACTGCTTATTCTTTGAATTTTGGTGTTAACACGTGTGCAGCCTCTAAGTATTTTCCGTTCTCTTCCCTCCCTGAAGTTGGTCTAAGGCTTCCAAGGAAGTGGGGGAGTGGGGTGGGCCGGACGTGTGCTGCTCGCCCTCCTGCCTGCTGCCCCTTCTGGCTGCGGCCGGGTTGGGACTGAAGCCATTGAACCCCCTTGCAGGCAGCTCCGTACGGAGATGGGGGCGCCCCGGGTTCCCTCTCTCCTTCTCTTCTGCTAATCACATAATGGCCTTAAAGGCTTTCTGAAATGATTATCTTGTCTTTAATTTTAAGTGGGTCTTTTGGGGCAACAGTTGGGAGTTTACGGAGTATCTTCAGTCATCTGTAGGCAGGCTCTGAACTGGGAAAACTGGCTCCATTGGACGCTGTGAAAAGACAGTGGAATTTTCATCTGCTGCCGATTTCACGCACTGTCCTGAAAGTGATTTCGGCCACAAACCTTTGATCTGAGAGTGAAACCCCCCTCCCTTGTGTGCTTCTGGAGGCAGGGGTTGGTGACTGCTCAAACCGCCTACTCTTTGTGTGTGAGTGTGTGTGTGTGTGTGTAGCTAAAGAGAGGGGCTGAACTACTTGGGGGTCTTTGGGGGTGCGCGGAAAAGCAGTTTTGCTGGGTTTTTGGTTTTGCCCGACTTTATGCAACAATGTGACTGGAGAAAAATTCTTGTGAGTCTCTTGGTTGAGCTGGGCTTGAATGAGAACTGTGCTGTGCACACGTCTGCTGTAGGCTCTGTG